TGTTGTGTTTTCTGATTTGCCATTGTGTTTTCTCTTTTTGTGTTGTGTTTTCTGATTTGCCGTTGTGTTTTCTGATTTGCCGTTGTGTTTTCTCTTTTTGTGTTGTGTTTTCTGATTTGCCGTTGTGTTTTCTGATTTGCCGTTGTGTTTTCTCTTTTTGTGTTGTGTTTTCTGATTTGCCGTTGTGTTTTCTCTTTTTGTGTTGTGTTTTGCACCTCAGGGCCACCGTAATATAACATAATAATATAATATAACTGTGACATTAATACTGCTATTCGGTATTGCTTAGAACAGGGGTTAAAAACATGCGGTTCTGGAGCCACTGGCGGATCTCCTGCCCAGTCTGGGAAGCCAGTCTGTGGCTCTGAATAGGGGCTAAAAATGATATAAAGAGCAAAACTGATCTAATATCATGACAAATACCAGTCTTAAAAGCTTTAATAGTTTCTATAAAAAACATCTGAATTTAATTTTCACAACAGAATGACATTAAAACAACCAGAAATATGTTTTTAGAGCTTTTTTTTTATTATTTGGTAGGAAATTAGGTGTTCTATTATTGTTTTAAAACCTACAACAAAGAAAAAAAACAGTTGGTTATTTAAGTTGGCAACAGATTTCCTAGGACAAGATATTTACGAAAAAAATAGGCTGTATAAAAAGACATGTAATACTTAGCTGGACTCAAGGCTAATGGCTCTCTACATCTGAAAGGTTGCAGACCCCTGTCTTAGACCATGTTTGTTTAAAGAGTGAGTTAACACTGATCTCTAGTGGTAAGAGAAAAGACTGTAATCTTACTTGTACTTTTTTTTTTTTCAAAGCACGAAACAAATCCAAAAAAATAAAGAAAAACAATAAAATAAGTTGATAATTAAATGTTTTTTTAACAGTAACTAATTAATCTAAAGCACAGCTTAGTATGACACTGCACGGTGTAAGTTGTCTGATTACAAGCTGTTCTTCAGCCCGAGGCCAATCCTCTACAGGCAGAATATGCACTTTTTAGATGCATCCTTTTTAAAAAACACTAAAATCAAATACCTGTGAATGACATGAGTGTGTCATTCAGATGTACAGAGGCCTAGCAAGAAGTCAGTTAATTCATTCAGGGTGGTTAAAGCAGGGATAGTTAAAGGTTTTCCATTATTTAATCTAGAAAAAAAACAATATTGATACTGTTTATAATTAATGCTGTATATCCAGGATGTTTGGATTTGTGAAAATTGTTCTGAGGAACATTAAAAAATACCCATTGTTTACATTTTACTGTGCATTTAGTAACACAAACAGGCTAAATTTGTCAACAACTGCAAACTATGTCATGAACATTAACAGTATTGAAGCTTTTGGTTTTTTTGAACTGCACATATTATAACAATTAGAATTCCCTCTTACCTCTGGATCCAATAGTCACTATGCTAATGTCCCAGGTGGGAAAAGGATTCTGCATACTGCGACACAGTGAAGAAGACGCCTCCTTACAACCATGGCACCAGACTGGTGGATCTTATAGACATGGCTGTGTTGGATTTTCTCATGAGTCAGTTTATTTTTTAACTTCTAAATATTTAAAATTCCACCCAACTATCAATAGAAGTAGTATATAAACTCCATGACTAAAAAAGCTTTATTACGGGTGTTTTTTCTTTGTAAGGCAACATGGACAGACATCACTATGAGACATTTGAAGAATTTGGCAACGACACATTTCTCCTTCATCTGGACAATGGACGGGCGTGAGTGTCTTCTTTTATAATGATCTACAAACATGTTATTAATTGTTCATTTTATTTACCATTAATCTACACAGTATTGTCTCTATGTTGTCTCTAAAGAAGTTTTTGTTTAAACTGTTCAGGTTTGGTCGGCATTCTCAGGACGAGCCTTCGATTTTAGCACCTTTGGCACAGTGTTGCAGGTATATCCAATATTTTGTTTTAAAATGAGGGAAATTGAAGAACAAAGATTGCAAATACAACAGGGCTGTGACACACAGTAGGGTTGTTAGATATTCCATTTTTATTTTGTTTTAGATTTTTTTATTTATTTTTTTGTTGGGGGGGTAGTAAATCATGAATTAAATGTGTTTAAATAAATCTTTCGGAAATCTCAGTTCTATTCTACCAGCCATACTTTACTGTGGGACCTTTCCGAAATCAAGAAATCTCTTAAATAGAACCTGACTGACAACATGAAGTAGGCCAAATGTACACCGATCTAGCAGTTTTTTTGAAGGATGTGCATCGTGTTACATCTAGCATGAAACTTAGCTTTAAAAAACATCATACTTACACTCAGACTTTGAGGGGGTATTGTGTTTGTCTGGGGCTGCTTTGCTTTATCAGGATCTGAAAAGCTTTCTGTAATTAAAGGAAACAAAATTGCAGCTCATCTCTTCCTGACCTCATGCTTTGAAAGGCTTTGAAAAAAAGTTGAATTAAAGTTTTGCATTGGAAAAGTCAAAGTCCAGTCTTGGATCTGCTTGGTGAGATCTTAAATAAGTATTTCATGCTCAACAACCAACCAGTGGGACTGAGTTTGTCACGATTTGTTTAGAGGTTTTTATGAGGACCCAAATGCAGAGGCTGACAGGCAGGGGTGAGTTCTTAAAAGGTTTAATGAAGATCAGGCAGCAAAAACAGGAATCCAAAAATCCGACATAAAAATCAAACACAAACCAGAACCATGGAGACATCAGGGGAAAACCATCAAGGAGCCAGGGTGAGAAAAGGTAAGACGGGGAACCAGCAAAGAGGGACTGCAGAGGGAGTGTATTTATGGCTGACTGAACAATGGTAGGACTAATGAGCTGATAAGGACCAGGTGTGACTAGAGCTGATGAGGAAGCCAAGGGAAAAGAACACAAGGGGGCAACAGAGGACAGACAGAAAAACCTAAGCAACTTAAATGACTCCAGACACAACAATAAAGCTAGAAAACCTGACTAAACTTGAAACTGAAAACTTGGAGAAAAACAACAGAACCAAGATCGTTACAGAGTTAGGTCTTACACGGTGATATCAAAGACTCATGGTCAATTATTGCAAAAACTCAATGATGGTTGCAGCTGCCAAGGATGAGAAAAAATAGTTTGCTTGAATATTTTTTTTTCTAATTTAAAATTATTTTTGTTGAATATTCTCTGGGTAGCTTTAATATAAAGTCATAAAATATCTTATTTTTTTATACATTAGTGTATTTCTTAAAAATGTCATTTGTTATCCCTTTAAAGTTGATGTGCTCCCCCCTTCGCCTCTTTTCCCGTAGAATCCGGCGCTCCACCCTCCTCCGCCTGAGGCTCCTGTCTCACCCTGACTTTCGATTGAGTGATGTCATGAGGGAATCATTGGCCCAGGATCCTCTGACGGCTGTGGCCCCGCTTCTCTCTGAACCACACCTGTCTGCCTTGGATCGACGCCTAGCAACCGTCTTGGGGGTTGTTCAAACATGCCAGGACACAAACACGGATGTTGTTTATAACGATTTGGATCAATATGAAGATCAGCAGCTTGAGGATGATTCATGATGACATATTATGTATTTTCTATATTTAATATTTGGTTCCATTTTTTTTTTTATGTTTTCTAATTTAGTTTTTAGGAGTCATGTGAAAGAAATAAAAAATCTCTAAGGTTCTTTTCTTTCCTTTGATGTTCTTTAAACAGTGTCCTTATGGGCCCAATTAAACCTTCCTTTTTAACTGTTTTTATGAAATTTTTATGAAAATCATAATTAAACAAAGACTAAACTTCAACATTAATTTAACCACTTCAAAAACTTAACAAGAAATCAGATGATTTTTCATTTTAGCTCATTTGTTCTCTGTCTTCCTCAATTTACAGTCATCTTTCAAATGAATAAATTGTACAAAACCCACTCAGTGGATACTTTATTAGGAAGATTTTCATGCATCAGTATGGATTATTGGTTTATTTTTCCTTCACTAATGCCTCAGTTCTTTGTGGGCAAAGATCTTTGATTGTTTTATGGCACTAGTGGATGTTTATTGTAAAGTGTGCTGACAGGAAATGGGATACAAGAGAGGGGGAGAAACATGTGGCAAAGGACCAAAGGCCTCCATGTCTGGGTCGTGTGCGCAAATGAAAAATGTGGGCAAAGTTTCAACAACATTTCTGAGACTCTTCTGAGAGATTTTGGTTCATGTTGAACTGCAGATCTGTCATCCATACTCTGAAACTCCGGGTCCACCATGTTTCAAAGGTGCTCTGTTGGGACTGGGTGACTAGAAGTCTCTTAAAGGAAAAGTCCGGTCATATTAAGAATTCAAACTTCTGAAAGTGCTTTAAATATGAAATTAAATTATTACCCGATGACCTTATGACCCCACCTCCCCCCTTCCGGTCCCATCCCCCACGAATGATTTATGACCTCTATGACCTTTTTTACCCGCCTCCCCTTTTCGACCCATCCCCCATCCTTCCGGACACTTTATGACTTAATTACTTCATGACTTCCGGAACCCTCCCCATCCTTCCACACTATTTGGTCTAAGCTGCTGGTGTTTGAACTCCCACCTTACCCACTCATATGACTATGCCTTCTTCCATCTGATTGTGACAACTGTTTGATTCTAACACTTATTTCCCTCAAATTAGGCTTTAATGTGGGTTTAAACTATTCCATAGCATTTTTCCATCCACAAATCTTATTTTATTTTACGGTGTCCTGCTGGTTTTAGAGATTTTCAGCTGATTTTGATGATTGCAGTTCAGCAACAGCCTGTTAATCAACTATCAGTGTAAATTAGCATTGCTGGAGCAGGGACACCTCTAAAACCTGCATGACAGCGGCCCTTCAGGACCCACTTTGGGGATGCCTGATCTAATGTGATGAAAATCAATACACAATCAGTAATCAATAGTATAATGAGTAATGCTTTTTTATTAAGAGTCCTTTCATAAACAAGTATATTTCTGAGAAGAACTTTTACTCTGTAGTGTGTGCTGGTGCTCATAAAACCCAACCCCCACCTCTGCTGCAGATCCTTACTGGTTGTTCACACTTTGCTTCATCTGCTGGCTCAAGTCTGCTCTGCATACCCCCCCACCCAAACTCTATTTTCTTTAGAGCAACCTTTGGCTTTGCTAATTCAACTGTAGGATAAATATCACTAGTTTAAGTTTGTCTGCCTTTTTAATTTTTCGTTTTTTGTTTATATATATAACTTTACTTTTTCTTGTTACTGAAAGTGCACTATAAATAAACTGGCCTCACCTTAAACCTACTGGTCCTGAATCTGGGCTATTCGGCCAGGGGCAGGAAAATCAGCTATTTCACTAAAAGCCTTTGGTTGGACCAGCAACACGGAGCTATAATATGAACAGTTAGTTTCCTGGTAATCTGGCTATTTTTAATTCTTTGTAAAGAACAAGGCTACGGTCTTCTTTAGTTACTCAATCACAAAACCATATGTGAGTGTTCTGTCAAAAAATTGCCCAAAAAATGTTCATGTTAAACCTAAGATAATGTTTTGTGCTAACATTAGGGAACCCATGGTTGTTACAACTAGAACTATAGATGAATTGGTGACAATTTCAAATTTAAATTTTTATCAAACTTTGTTTACTTGTCAGGCAGAAGAAAATAATAATTTAGAATTTGTTTAAGTTTATATCGAATTACACTATTTATTTATTTTTTTTACTCTAAACATTATTCCTAATCTCCCCAAAACACATTCTTACTAGTTCTACCATAAACTCCATACTGATGACTCAGAATTTTAGAATAAGGCACTAACTACTGATTTCTTCTCAGTCAGTGATCAACATCTAATTATTTAGTTTGCTTTGTTTCAGTAGTTGGTAGGACCTTTGCTTCAGAGCTTGGGTAAATGCTAATAAATAAAAACAAGGAAGGACCAATACTTTGATGCAAACATGGGGGGAAGTCATGTTATTTCCTGACTTTTTCTTTCAGCTTTATTCAGCTCTATCCTCTCTACCAAGCAGTCATAGGATAAGTGTTTATTTCATTTAGTTGCTGAAATGAAAGTTTACAAAAACTGATAGGAACAAGTTTTCATTCCATAGTAGAAGTTTGAAATAAAATCTGAATGAGAGTGTAACAATTTGATTTAGAAGCATTTTTGACATAAATGAACAATTTCATAAACAGGGTGCTTTTCTTGAATTCTGATCTTTTCCTTTTCTAAACAGAATCAACTAATTTATTCAGTTTTGTCTGTATTTTGTAAATTGTAGCAATGGCTCCTTTCAATTCAAAATCAGTTCTGCATATCCCACAATCTATCGATATTAGAATCCCATTCAATGACTGATGGGCCGAGGCCCCAGCATTTCTTTTAGCTTATTTCCAATTATGCAAACACCCTACTTTGATGTGTCCAAAAAATGAAAATCAAAGGTAAATTCCAAACTTCTCATACCTGAAATACTTCTTAACAAAGTTGGTGTGATTGGGGGAAGGTCCATCTAAGAATGGATATCGGAGTTGATTCATCTATAGTTCTAGTTGTAACAACTATGGTTTCCCTAATGTTAGCACAAAACATTATCTTAGGTTTAATACAAACAGTTTTTTGGGCAATAGGAGAAATGAAAAGGGTCTATTTTGTAGACTAATGCAGTGCAGATGGTATTTTGACAAAACACATATGGTTTTGTGATTGAGTGACTAAAGATGGCCGTAGCCTTGTTCTTTACAAAGCATTAAAAAGAAAAATAGAGAGGAATAGAGTTTGGGTGGGGGGGTATGCAGAGCAGACTTGAGCCAGCAGATGAAGCAAAGTGTGACCAACCAGTTAGGATCTACAGCAGAGGTGGGGGTTGGGTTTTATGAGCACCAGCACACACTACAGAGTTAAAGTTCTTCTCAGAAATATACTTTTTTATGAAAGGACTCTTAATATAAAAAAGCATTACTCATTATACTATTGATAATTGATTGTGACTTGAGTTTCGTCAGATTAGATTATGAGATGTAATTTACCTGCAAGTGAAATTTTTTTAAATCTTATTTCAGTTTAATATGGGAAAAAGTCAGAATTCTGATTTTTTTCTCACTGAAATAAAATTTAAAAATCTGTAAACTTATTTCTTTTCCCAGTGGCCCTAATCCTCTTCCGTAAAAGTGGAATGTGTTCTACTTTTTTTTTTTTGTTGTTGTTGTTGTTTTTTGCATCCCTCTGTTGTCAGGAGAGATTTCATAATAAATCCGTACCACTTTCATTTTCGAAACGTCACTAGAGGAGGTGGATCAGAAGGCACGTCCTCCTCCACGACTTTAGAAGTACTTCCGGTCACCACTGTTGCAAAAACTCAATGATGGTTGCTGCTGGAAACTCGTGAGATATTTAAGGTTAATACTTCTTAATACAGCTGATCGCGTGTGTGGGGCTGTTTACTGAGGCTGAAGTCACAGAGAGAAGTTGGTAGACTTTGCAGAGAAGCTCGCCCTGCAGGGCCTGCTGCGCTGACCGGATCATGGATCCACTAGATTTCCTGGAGACCGATGAGCTGCTCCGCTTTTTCCACGCTCGGAAAACTGAAATGTCCTGCATGGAAAACCCGCAAACCTTCCTGAGCCAGCTGCGAGATCACAACCTGATCCCGGAAGACAAATACCAGGTAAGCTTTTCAAACTGACATGTTTGTTATTGCCTGCTGCTCTACACACCCACATATCACATTTCGCGCCTTTATCTGTTTGGACATTAGCTGGGGAAGCGTAAGCTATAGAAGACCTACTCTGCCATATTTACAAATAAATACAGAGATAAATAAATGCTCAATAAATAAATGCTCAATAAATAAACAAGCATACAATTAATTGCCCCCCAAAAATACAATAAACAAATAAATCCATTCAGGATTTCTGCGTTACATTAACGCACAGTCTACTGTTTGTATATAGCTTCTGTGTATATATATATATATATATTTTATATATATTCTATCTTATTTTGCTATTTTGTTTTGTTTTTTGTCTGCACCATCAACACCAAGTCAAATTCCTTGTAAGTGCAAACCTACTTGGCAATAAACTTGATAAACTTGATTCTGATTCTAAATGTAGGTAGAAATTAAATTATACAGAGATACATAAATGTATATCTCTTTTAATTAGCTTCTTCATTTTTTCCGACTTTGTAATAATTACTTGACTCTCTCTCTTTTTTTCACTTCCATACAGAAAGTCCATATTCTTATCTTCAGTTAGCACTGAATACATGTCAGATAAAATAATACTACTTATACTTCAGTGATAGTATCTAGGTGTTACTCTATTGTACAGTGTGGAGGACCAACTCTGCCATATTTAATAATAAATACAGAGATAAATAAATGCTTAATAAATAAACAAGCATACAATTAATCGCCCTCAAAAATACAATAAACAAATAAATGTAGGTAGAAATTACATTATACAGAGAGACATAAATGTATATATCTGTTTTAATTAGCTTCTTTATTTTTTCGACTTTGTTATAATTACTTGACTCTATCTCTTTTTTTTCACTTCCATACAGAGAGCCCATATTCTTATCTTCAAGTAACACTGAATACATGTCAGATTAAATAATACTACTTATACTTCAGCAATAGTATCTAGGTGTTACTTTATTGTATATCTTATACCATGTCTATTGGTTGTGCTGTTATTTTTACATCTCTTTGCAGGTGATGAAGCAGCCTGGAGATGTTTTATCGTTATCTCCCTTTTATCTCCTCTTTGTCTCATCTTTTCTACTTTTTTCTGTACTGTTCTACCCACATTGCAGTTTCCATATAATCTGTAAAACTCTCTGCATGAATTATAATAAAGCAGTTTATATGCATAAATCAAGCGGAACACTATGGCGATAGCCCTACTGCTCCACTTGTGAAAGTAAAATCTGTTGGGCTCTTTTTGGCATCAAGACAATTATTCTTATTGCCACATTGCCAGACAGGACAATGCTTAAAAAAAAAAAAGTTGACTCTCTAACACACACCCCTTACTCATTTTCATAATGAAAGAGAAATGCATACAGAAATTTAAAAATGACAGGCAGAAATAAATAGCGTTGAAGAAATAAATAAGGAAAAAGATGCAAAGGAAGAATAAAACAGACAAAAATATTATCACATGCACCAAAATAAATACTTAAAAAAATAAGTAATAAATAAATAAAGCTAAAGACTATAACGGACAATAAATAAATAAGGTAATTATTACAAAGGCAAATAAATAGAGAAGCTAATTAACAGAGTTTTATACATTTATGTCTCACTATATAATTTAATTTCTACCTACATTTATCTGTTTAGTGTATTTTTGGGGGCAATTAACTGTATGCTTATTTATTTATTGAGCATTTATTTATTTATGTATTTATTTTTAAATATGGCAGAGTTGGTCCTTCATACAAACATTCATAATTAGAAAACAAAAAAATACATGGATCTCATGTTTTATTGCAACGTAATTGCAGAGACTTTCAACTAAAAGAAAGATTTTTCCACACGCAGCTTTTCGTTTTTTTGAATATTTATTCACGAATATGTAAAACTTAAATATTTCTAAGATATCAAGAAGCAATAAGGGCAAAAGTCTGGCGGATAAGTGTTATTATTTAATATGTGGTTAAGAAAGGTATTATACACAAAAAAATATATTTTTCGAAAATTACTAAAATCATGTAATGCTAGACGTTTCCCTAAAATAAAATTTTTAGTCAAATTAAATTTTAATGTAATTCACAGCAAATAATATTTTGACCTAGAGGCAATAGGCTAATTAAATCTAGCTTTATTTTTTGGGTTATTTTATGGAATGGGTTGTTTTTTCTGTTAATAAAGATGCAATGACTGATAACCGATTGGTTCAACTTGGTCCTGTGCTGTACGTACCTGCTGAAGTAATCCACTGGGAACCAATATAGGAGATATATATATATATATATATATATATATATAAAATGTTAATTTCTAATTTCTTTTGTGTTCAGAGCATCATCCGCATGAAGAGTAAAAATAAGATTAGGACAGGTGTCTATGATATTTTGGACTGGCTGGAGAATAAGAATTCGGAACACATCCAGCTGTTCTGGAGATGTGTCTTCAAGGACGTTATCATGACCCAGTATCCCACAATTAAGGTGCTGCACACAAGCCTCATGGACGGTAAGACTTTACAAGGTTTGCTTTTTTTGTTTGGATTTGTTTACGTGTAAAAAAAAAAAAAAAAAGTCCCTGTTAATAACGAAGCAAAGAAGAAACATTTTCAAAATGCCAATAACTTTGCCCCCAGTATATTAAATGAGTATTTCCAATGCTTTTCATTATATTCATCAATCTGTTGATGTATTGAAAATATACGGGAAGACATTTTTAGGGAGCGCTATGTTTTAATTAAGTCGTTCTGGAAGAAAAAAGCCCTATTTCACAATAATAGCATAGTCGTTAATGTTTTAAGTAATTAGTATGTTCTAATTATCGTTTTATCACAGGATCTTTTCACTTTGACCTACAACTACCTGCGAAGGTGGAAAGTGAAGAAAGTGAAGAAAGGGGAAGCTCAAAGCATTCGGACAGTGAGAAGGAAACTAAGTCAGCCAAAAAGAAGAGGAAAGCCAGCAGTGCCAGCAACTGTAGCAGCGGGGAGGATCAGCAGCCTGGTCTGTCAGTAAAACAGAACCCAGGTCAGAGGAAAAAGACCAAGAAAATAAATTACAGTAAGTCACCTCTTTGAGTTTTAGAATTTAAAAGATTCAGATCAACTATAAGAGGAGTTATAAAAAAGCTTAATTTTTTCGATCAATGATGCATGTCTCTGCAGTCTGTTAGATGTTCCTGAAAATTATGCAATGTAGCTTTAATGAAAGGAAGGATAAATAAATTACTAATTTTAGACGATCGGAATGGGAGAAAAGTCTGAAAGTACAAACATTTTTCCATGCTCCTTTCTTACACTCATCCAGACTTTGAAACTGCAGAAATACATTTTCATGCTTTTTTTAGGCTGCATACTGTAAACATATCATAGAGCTGAGTGTCAGTGATTTAATTAACACAAATGTCATAAAAACAAATTAAGAGTTTATCCCTGCACCTCTCTGTACGTATTTGAGGTTTTTACTCTGAACTCTTGGAGCATCACGGCCTCTGGCTTTATAACCCAGAATCCGAAGTAAACTTCATTGAGCTTCTCTTAGATTCTTCTGCATCTGAACAGTTTACAGTAATTATGACTTTTGAGTGCAAATGAAACACTACAACTGCCATTGCCCACCTTGATGCTATGTGCTTTCTTACTCTGCCTTTCTTACTTCTCCTCAGGTTCTCCAAGGAAGGGAGAGGCAGAGGAGATTTGGACCTGGCCCCTCTATAAGAGCCAGCTGCCTGTGACCTGTGGACAAGAGGAGGGGACGCTTATAAGAGACAAACTGGCCAAAGGTTAGACAGCATGAGGCAAACTCAACGTCCAAAGTGTCTCCCCTCATATGGGGTCATTTCCCTTTAAAGGCTGTTTGTTTGAAAGATAGCCAAAGACATACAAGCAGCTCTTACTATTATAAACTTTTTGTTAAACTTTCAGAAATCTTTTATGTAAATTATGCAATCTGTTGTTTTCTCATTGCTTCAGGTGAAAAATGCATCTTGGTGGATAAGCAGTGGTTCTCTCCGTCTGAATTTGAGAAGTTTGCAGGAAAAGGAAGCAGCAAGAACTGGAAGATGAGCATCCGATGCAGGAAGACCCCTTTAGGAAAACTTATTAAGGTTTGGGGGCAACACAGCTTTGGAACAGCGATATTTGCATCTTCCTATTTCTCTTAACTCACGTGCTGTTATGTGGGTAATTTCTTTGAAGGAGGGACACCTGAAGGCAGCAGCCTACAAAAACAGACGCAAACTGGTGAAAGGAAAACAACAAAGTAAGAAATCCAAATAATTTAGATTCACTTATTGTTTTCTCACCCATGTCTTTACCTGCGTTTCGTAACACTTTTCTAACAACGCCACTATTGTGGCGATTCCAAGGACAGGCGAGCAAGGTGACACCTGTGACTTTGAACTATTTCCTCTTGTTGCATTGCTTCAACCAATCAATTACGTAGGGTGAAGGAATGAAGTGAGGACAAAGTGTTTTCAATCAAAATGGAAGACATGTTAAATAATATAAAAGGAAAAAGGAATGCTCCTAAGAGGTTCGTGAGTCTCTCTTGGTAAAGCCGCTTTAATTATCCCCTCAAACGACTATTATATCGTTCTTTATTCGTCCTCCTGTTAGCCTCTTAGCGAGACACAGCATGCCGTTATAGGTCCCAGATCAACTCGGGGCCCTGCCTCTGCTGATGATGATAATAATAATAATAATAATAATAATAACACATTTTATTTAAAAAGGCGCCTTTTCTGGACACTCAAGGTCACCGTACAAAAGCATAAAAAACACAGTGTCAGAAACAAAATAAAAAAACATTTAAAAAATACAGAGGTTGTGACAGTGAAATTGATATTTAAAGAGAATACGCAATCTTAAACAGATGAGTTTTGAGTTGCATTTTAACATGCAGGAGGTCTGACAGATAGGGGGGCAAGGTGGTGAAGTGCCTTGAATGTCATCCTGATAATTTTATAGTGAATGCGTAACTGTACAGGGAGCCAGTGGAGCTGTCGGAGGACCGCAGTGATGTGGTGGATAGAGGGAGTTCTTGTTGTGATGCTGAGTTCTGGACCAGCTGTAGTTTGTGGAGTGATTTCTGAGGAAGTCCAAAGAGGAGGGAGTTGCAGTAATCTAATCGGCAGGTGAAAGGACTGTGCAAAAGTATGGCAGTAGTGTGTGGGGTAAGGGACGGACGGAGGCGGTTGATGTTTCTTAGGTGAAAGTAGGTAGACCTGTAATGTTATTTATATGGGATTGGAAAGATAGTTTGCTATCGAGGATGACACCCAGATGCTTAACCTGGGGGGAGGGGGATATGGAGCAACTATCAATAGTAACTTGGAAACTGTCGGTTTTGGAAAGAGTTGATTTGGTGCCAATGAGGAGCACCTCAGTTTTACTACTGTTTAATTGAAGGAAGTTTTTGGTGAACCAGGCTTTTAATTCACAGATGCAATTTGTGAGGGAGGCGGGTGGAAGAGAGGACGATGGTTGCGTGGTGAGGTAGAGCTGGGTGTCATCGGCATAGCAATGGAAGTGGATGTTAAATTTGCGGAAGATATTGCCAAGATAGATGATGAAGAGCAGAGCCCTGACAGAGCCCTGGGGCCCACCTGAGGCGACGGAGGAGGGGGTGGATTTGAGGGTCTTCAGTTGAATGAACTGAGTGTGGTCAGAAAAATAGGAAATAAACCAGTCCATTAGTGATACCAATGGAAGAAAGCCTACTGAGGACGGTGATGTGACAGATGGTGTCAGGGCTGCACTCAGGTCGAGGAGGATGAGGATGGTGAGTAGTCCAGAATCAGATGCCATGAGGAGGTCACAATAATTCAACACTGCTCAGATAAACTTAAGTTTCATAAGAATCAATTCTTCTCAGGAGA